TTGTGTTGCCTCCGGTGCCTCTGTTTTGTTCCATTGGTCTATATCTCTGTTTTGGTACCAGTACCATGCTGTTTTGATTGCTGTAGCCTTGTAGTATAGTTTCAAATCCGGTAGTGTGATGCCCCCCGCTGTGTTCTTTTTGCTTAGAATTGACTTGGCTATGCGGGCTCTCTTTTGGTTCCATATGAAGTTCATGGTGGTTTTTTTCCAGTTCTGTGAAGAAAATCAATGGTAGCTTGATGGGGATAGCGTTGATTCTGTAAATTACTTTGGGCAGTATAGCCATTTTCACGATAATTCATTCTTCCTAACCATGAACATGGAATGTTTCTCCATCTGTTTGTGTCCTCTCTGATTTCGTTGAGCAGTGGTTTGTAGTTCTCCTTGAAGAGCTCCCTTACGTCTCTTGTGAGTTGTATTCCAAGGTATTTTATTCTTTTTGTAGCAATTGTGAATGGCAGTTCGTTCTTGATTTAGCTTTCTTTAATTCTGTTATTGGTGTAGACGAATGCTTGTGATTTTTGCACATTGATTTTATATCCTGAGACTTTGCTGAAGTTGCTTATCAGTTTCAGGAGTTTTTGGGCTGAGGTGATGGGGTCTTCTCATGTCGTCTGTAAATAGAGACAATTTGGCTTCTACCTTTCCTATTTGAATACCCTTTATTTCTTTTTCTTGCCTGATTGCTCTGGCTAGAACTTCCAATACTATATTGAATAGCAGTGGTGAAAGAGGGCATCCTTGTCTAGTGCCGGATTTCAAAGGGAATGCTTCCAGTTTTTGCCCATTCAGTATGATATTGGCTGTTGGTTTGTCATAAATAGCTTTTATTACTTTGAGATACGTTCCATCAATACTGAGTTTATTGAGGGTTTTTAGCATAAAGGGCTGTTGAATTTTGTCAAAGTCCTTCTCTGTGTCAATTGAGATAATCATGTGGTTTTTGTTTTTGGTTCTGTTTATGTGGTGAATTACGTTTATAGACTTGCGTATGTTGAACCAGCCTTGCATCCCCGGGATGAATCCTACTTGATCATGATGAATAAGGTTTTTGATTTGCTGTTGCAATCGGCTTGCCAATATTTTATTGAAGATTTTTGCATCTATGTTCATCATGGATATTGGCCTGAAGTTTTCTTTTCTTGTTGGGTCTCTGCCGGGTTTTGGTATCAGGATGTTGTTGGTCTCATAAAATGATTTGGGAAGGATTCCCTCTTTTTGGATTATTTGGAATAGTTTTAGAAGGAATGGTACCAGCTCCTCTTTGTGTGTCTGGTAGAATTCGGCTGTGAACCCGTCTGGACCTGGGCTTTTTTTGTGTGGTAGACTCTTAATTGCTGCCTCGACTTCTGACCTTGTTATTGGTCTATTCATAGTTTCAGCTTCCTCCTGGTTTAGGCTTGGGAGGACACAGGAGTCCAGGAATTTATCCATTTCTTCCAGGTTTACTAGTTTATGTGCATAGAGTTGTTTGTAATATTCTCTGATGATGGTTGGAATTTCTGTGGAATCTGTGGTGATTTCCCCTTTATCATTTTTTATTGCATCTATTTGGTTGTTCTCTCTTTTCTTTTTAATCAATCTGGCTAGTGGTCTGTCTATTTTGTTGATCTTTTCAAAAAACCAGCTCTTGGATTTATTGATTTTTTGAAGGGTTTTTCGTGTCTCAATCTCCTTCAGGTCAGCTCTGATCTTAGTTATTTCTTGTCTTCTGCTGGGTTTTGAGTTTTTTTTATCTTGCTCCTCTAGCTCTTTCGATTTTGACGATAGGGTGTCAATTTTGGATCTCTCCATTCTTCTCATATGGGCACTTATTGCTATATACTTTCCTCTAGAGACTGCTTTAAATGTGTCCCAGAGATTCTGGCATGTTGTCTCTTTGTAAGTCATTATGTCCATATATTTGTAAGTCCATATATGTTTAGGATTGTTAGCTCTTCTTGTTGTATCGATCCTTTTACCATTATGTAATGGCCTTCTTTGTCTCTTTTGATCTTTGTTGCTTTAAAGTCTATTTTATCAGAGATGAGAATTGCAACTCCTGCTTTCTTTTGCTCTCCATTTGCTTGGTAAATCTTCCTCCATCTCTTTATTTTGAGCTTTTGTGTATCCTTGCATGTGAGATGGGTTTCCTGTATACAGCACACTGATGGGTTTTGGATTTTTATCCAATTTGCCAGTCTGTGTCTTTTGATTGGTGCATTTAGACCATTTACATTTAGGGTTAATATTGTTATGTGTGAATTTGATACTGCCATTTTGATGCTAAGTAGCTGTTTTGCCTGTTAGTTGTTGTAGATTCTTCATTATGTTGATGCTCTTTAGCATTTAGTGTGATTTTGGAATGGCTGGTACTGGTTGTTCCTTTGTATGTGTAGTGCCTCTTTCAGGAGCTCTTGTAAAGCAGGCCTGGTGGTGACAAAATCTCTGAGTACTTGCTTGTTCGCAAAGGATTTTATTTTTCCTTCACTTCTGAAGCTCAGTTTGGCTGGATATGAAATTCTGGGTTGAAAGTTCTTTTCTTTAAGAATGTTGAATATTGGCCCCCACTCTCTTCTGGCTTGTAGTGTTTCTGCCGAGAGATCTGCTGTGAGTCTGATGGGCTTCCCTTTGTGGGTGACCCGACCTTTCTCTCTGGCTGCCCTTAGTATTTTCTCCTTTATTTCAACCTTGTTGAATCTGACGATTATGTGCCTTGGGGTTGCTCTTCTTGCTGAATATCTTTGTGGTGTTCTCTGTATTTCCTGCATTTGAGTGTTGGCCTGCCTTGCTAGGTGGGGGAAATTTTCCTGGATAATATCCTGAAGAGTATTTTCCAGCTTGGATTTATTCTCTTTGTTCTGGTACACCTATCAAACATAGGTTAGGTCTTTTCACATAGTCCCACATTTCTTGGAGACTTTGTTCATTCCTTTTTGCGCTTTTTTCTCTGATCTTGGTTTCTTGTTTTATTTCATTGAGTTGATCTTCGACTTCTGATATTCTTTCTTCTGCTTGGTCAATTCGGCTATTGAGACTTGTGCATGCTTCGCGAAGTTCTCGTATTGTGTTTTTCAGCTCCTTTAATTCATTCATATTTCTCTCTAAGTTATCCATTCTTTTTATCATTTCCTTGAATCTTTTTTCATATCTTTTTTCAAGGTTCTTAGTTTCTTTTCATTGATTTAATACATGTTCTTTTAGCTCACAAAAGTTTCTCATTATCCACCTTCTGAAGTCTAATTCCGTCATTTTGTCACAGTCATTCTTCGTCCAGCTTTGTTCCCTTGCTGGTGAGGAGTTTTGGTCCTTTCTAGGAGGTGAGGTGTTCTGGTTTCGGGTGTTTTCCTCCTTTTTGCGCTGGTTTCTTCCATCTTTGTGGATTTATACACCTGTCGTCTCCGTAGTTGCTGATTTTTCGATTGGGTCTGTGAGTGGACACCCAGATTGTTGGTAATGAATTATTTCTGTTACTTGGTTTTCTTTCTACCAGTCTAGCCCCTTCGCTGTACAAGTGCTGAGGTCCACTCCAGGTCCTGCTTGTCTGGGGTGCACCTGTAGCAGCTGCGGAACAGTGAGGGATGCTACCAGTTTCTTTTTCTGCTATCTTTGTCCCAGGATGATGCCTGCCAAATGTCAGTCTTTTGGATATAGAGGGGTCAGGGAGCTGCTTGAGGAGACAGTCTGTACTTTTTAGGAGCTCAATTGCTGAGCTGTGAGCTCTGTTGTTCGTTCAGGGCTGTTAGGCTGCTATGTTTAATTCTGCTGCAACAGAGCTCATTAAAAAACCCTTTTTTTTTCAGATGCTCTGTCTTGAGGGGTTGGGGCTTTCTTTGTGAGTGTCCGTTGCGTTGTCCTGCCCAGCTATGAGGCAGTCTAGTCACTATTTGCCTGCCGAGGCTCCGCCCTGCTGTTGTGAGGTTTGCCCTGTTGCTGCAGGCTCTGCTCTTCTTCTGCTGTTTCCGCCCTGCTTCCACGGGCTATGCCCTACGGCGGGGTCTCTCTGTTGTATCGGGTTGCCTTGGCAATGGCAGGCTGCATCAGCAGTGGGCGTGTATCTCAGTACGGGCGGATTGCCTCGGTAATGGTGGGCGCCCCTCCCCCTCGGAGCGTCTCAAGGGAACGTCTTTACCGGGAGCGTTTGGAATTGCCATTTTGTCCGTCCCACTGTGCTACCCCAAACGCTGTGTCCCTGCAATCCCCTTGTCTGGCCCACTGTCCAAGTCCCGTTCAGTCTCAAGTTCAGCCCTCTCAAGTCTTAGGTTGCCAGTTCAACAAGGCACCCGGACAAGCGCGCCCCGTGCGGACTGCTGTGTAGGTCCGGCCGCTGCCACCCTGGCTGCCGGCTTCACCAGACAAAACCTCTGCCTGGTGTCCCACGTCTCCTTTATACCTGGGAATTTCCCCGTTCTGTGGGCAACAAAGATCAGTCTGGAAATGCAGCTCTGACTCACCTCTCCGCGCATTCACCGAGAGCTTCAATCCTGGGTTGTTCTCACAGTGCCATTTTGAGTCCTCCCCTCTTCTAGGGTTTTTATGGCGTTAGGTTTTATGTTTAAGTCTTTAACTTATCTGGAGTTAATTTTTGTGTAAGGTTTCAGGAAGGGATCAATATATTGTTCAAAATATTTTTATACAGTTTTCCTCAGTGTCCATGTGGAATGTGGAAGTCCCTGATATATAAAATGGTGTAGCATTTGCATATAACCTATACACATCCTCTGTATACTTTAAATCATCTCTTGATTACTTTTAATACCTAGTACAATATAAGTACCACGTAAATGATTGTTAAACTGTATTGTTTAGGGAATAATGACTAGAAAAAAGTCTTTACATGTGCAATAGAGACACAACCATCTATTTTGTTCAGAATACTTTCTAACCCATGGTTGACTGAATCCATGGGTGTGAAACCCATGGATATGGAACCCATGGATATAGAAGGCTGACTCTAATATAGAAGAGTATGAATTTGCTAAAACTATCAGAAAATAAGTATTTTATAATAACTTTTTTAGGCACCTCACAGTTTACTTGAAGCACTAAAACAGCATTTAGCTTCTTTGGAAGAGAAAAATGATACTCTATCTCCTTACTGGTAAGTTAATAAATGCCTTAATGTAGGTTAATTTTGTTTACCTCCAAATGATTTTCTGCATCCTAAATTTAATGATATGAGGTCAACTAAATAAGTTATGGGCTATGAATATGATGGAATACTATTCAGCTATTTTAAATGATGATATGGGACAGAGGTTTTCCGTCTTTTGTGGGATTCCATACTCTTCACAGATTATATGCTTTCCAAAGGAACATCTTTCATTAAACTGAATGATTTGCAAAGTCAGAGAATGGAAATATTTGAGAATTTAATTTCTTCCCCTAGGGGCTCCTCTAGTGAGAATAACTATTACTGGTGAACGTTATTTAATGGCATGTCAAAGTGTTCATTCATGAGACAGAACACATAGTAACATTCAAGATGTGTGTAGATACACACATCTATCTACACATACACATACATGTACTCTGCTATATATGCATATTCGTATAAACTGAATAATACAAAATTTGAGGTATGTCACCCCAAAATGTTCACATTAGCTATTTCTTTTCTTTTCTTTTTTAAATTTTGAGACAGAGTCTCGCTCTGTTGCCCATGCTGGAGAGCAGTGGCATCATCTCAACTCACTGCAACCTCCATCTCCTGGGTTCAAGTGATTCTCCTGCTTCAGCCTCTCCAGTAGCTGGAATTACAGGCACAGGCCACCATGCCCAGCTAATTTTTGTATTTTTAGTAGAGATGGGGTTTTACCATGTTGGCCAGTGTCATCTCTAACTCCTGACCTGAGGTGATCTGTCCACCTCAGCCTCCCAAAGTGCTGGAATTACAGGCATGAGCCACTGTGGCTGGTCTCAGCTATTTCTAAGTGTAACAGTTGTGGTTGATTTTAGTTTTCTTGTTTGTATTTTTCTCTATTTTCCACAATCACAAAGTTCATATAATATTAACTCATTAGACTTTTTAAGGTTGTGTTGATTGTAATCTATTTATATTATTACCTTCTCTTAGACCACAAGTCCATTGACTATTTCTTAATTATCTGTGTCACAGATAGATCTATAGTTAGTATATGATTGGAGAGATGGATGGATAGATGGATAAATCAAAGAAATGTAAGTTCAATTAGGTAGAATACGTATAATTCCATTTATTCTCCAGTATGCCTCATAATTATTGTGATCTTTCAAGTCTCCAGTGTGCATTGACTCCATCCTTCCCAAATAGTTCAGCCGTGACAGCTTCAGCAACCACAGCTTGGTTTGCAAGTAATATGGCATCATTACACGATTACATCAGTAATAACTGAAGATAGGACTAGAATCTTTATTTTTTTTTTCACTGCTAAACTACCAACTGTGTCTGTTGCCTCTTCCTGAAGCAGTATTTGACCCAGCACTTTCATTCATAGGAATTTATTCAGCATATATATTCACAATTGTGAAATGATATAGGAATAAGAATATTCATTGCAATATTATAATGGCAATGGTTAAATTAATAAGAGGCTTGTTTTTATATACTGAAATAGAGATCTCCAAGTTATGCTGTTAAATGACAAATGAGCAAGAAGTGAAACAAAGTATTGTATACTATCATTTTTGTTTTTTAAGAGTAAAAAGAAAGAATATATATGGAATGTCTTAAATAATATTTCTGGAAGGATATATAAGAAATGCATTAAAATGGGCTGCTTCCAAAAAGAATTTAGTGGTTCACGGAAAGAGATGGGTGGGTGAGTCTCCACTGTATACCATTTTCTAACTTTTGCAATTATGCCATGAAAATAATTACCTATTAATATATAAAGTTTACAAATAAACAAAAATATACACACATACAGTGTGATACTTTGTAATGCTTTAGGTGGAAATCCTTTGTAATTTCTTACATTTAGTTTGTCTCATAGTTAAATGATGTTCTGGAGCCAGCTCCTACTAGCTTAGAGGAGCCAATTATTAAATTTTCAGGAATTTTTCCAGCTGGTTGATATCACATTGGTAGCTTGAAATTGGTCATGATGGGAGTATTTACACTACAGAAATGGACAGACAGTACAAATTAGCCCTCTTTTTTCTTTAGAGCTGGTTGTTATACATTTACTGGCACACAACTGCTCATAGGTATCCATATTTTGGTTATCTCTACTCTAGACATCTATGTAATAATAAGCAATATTATCTATCATAGCATTTATATGTATTTGAATTAAATTTTTTTCTTATTTTAACTTAAATATTTAAACTGTGTCTATGTTAAATGCTTTTGTTTTTCATATATATGTATGGTTTTTCAATGGACAACTCTCTTGAATTTTTAATGATGAGTTCAACCAAAGCTATGATGAACATAAGTTCTTTGAGTAAAACAATATGTATAGAAAAACTATAGACTTGATTCATTTCTAAAAGAATGACTACTTTTTCTCTTAAATTATTACAATTTAAGGGGAGGTGGAGCAAGATGGCCATGTAGGAACAGCTCAGGATTGCAGCTGCCAGTGAAAGTGCAGCGGGTGAGTGGACACCGCATTTCCAAATGGATCTTTATTGCCCACAGACCAGGAGATTCCCAGGCGGAGGAGCCCCCCGGGTTGGCAGCGCCCCGGCACGGCGGTTCTACATACAAAATACACTGGTCTGGTTGCCCTTTTAAGCTGGCAATTGGAGCTCTGGGAAGGCAGATTAGCCCATTCATCTGATTAAACAATGGTCTGAAACAGGGAGCCAGGCCAGGAGATTCCCGGGCAAAAAAAAGCACCACAAATCTCAGCGCCATTGTTTCAGCCTGCACAGTGGGTTGCCGCACAGGAAATCATACAGATCCCAGCGCCCTTTCAGCAGGCGACTGGAACACTTGGGAGAGAGTCAATCGTTCAACTTAAAAAAAAGAAAAAAAGAAAAAAAAAAAGGGGCTCTGATGCAGGGAGCCAGGTGACTGAAGCAACTGAATGACTTCAGAGTTTCCATTACCTGTATTCTATTGCATGAAATTTATGCAATGCACTGAAGCTATAAATAGAACTAGTGATTACAATTTTTAAGTAAGAAATAATTTAAATCATGAAAATATTGCCAAATAGGCAGAACACAAATAATAAACTAAAAATGAGTTTTAAAAAAGGTCGGAATCAGAAAAATTCCAGATATTCTATTTCTATTAACAATTTCTCCCATTAGAAGCTTTATACAATAACAGCAAAATCAGTTCAACTTTCTAAACCTGATTAACATAGCCTAGAAGTGATCCCAAACAGCAAAATGGCAAATAAAACAAAACAAAATGAAACAACAATAAAGTCCCTGCACAAGGGGAGAAAAACCAGCAGTAAATAGTAGTTCATAACTCTTGATGTAAACCAAGAATGTAACCTAAACTAAATTATATTAATACTTCAATCTCTATTATGTGCATATTCATAATTCCTATTTTGGATTATCTATTAATTCTGAACCAGATTTCTCTTGACTATTCTACTTCTGCACATCTATTTTCACCCCCATTTCTATGGGTCCTTTCTCTATTCCTGTTAGCCATCTCACAAGGCATGTGCTATATTATTTCTCAGAGAGTGGCCATTTTTTCCAATGCAAGAAAAGAATGTGGGTGGATTGCCTTCTATTTTAAAATATCCATATAATTTTTTTCTGTTAGTAGTTGTGACCATATCTCCAACTCTTGATACCTTAAGAGAGGTTTTTCTGGCTGGGTGTGGTGGCTCACACCTGTAATCCCAACATTTTAGGAGGTGGATCACCTGAGGTCAGGAGTTCAAAACTAGCGTGGCCAACATGGCGAAACCCCATCTCTACTAGAAATACAAAAATTAGCCAGATGTGGTGGCGAGCACCTATAATCCCAGCTACCTGGGAGGCTGAGGCAGGAGAATCACTTGAACCAAGAGGACAGAGGTTGCAGTGAACTGAGATCATGCCACTTCAGTCTAGCCTGGGTGACAGAGTGAAATTCTGTCTCGAAAAAAAAATAATTGTTTTCAAAAGTCTTCCTATGTTCCTCTAGCAAACAGCTGCACAAGATAAACAAAGTGAACAATTATACAGTATAGATGCTCTAAATAAAGCAAGTTACAAAATTGATGAGTTCCTTCACAAACCATTTCTAACACATAATGCAGGAAAGCAGAAATCAGACCATGTGTTACACCACAGGTTCCCATAGCTGTGCAAATCATTCGAATTTGATATTGATCCCAGGGTGTTTCCAATCTCATGATACAGTCTTCCCACCATATTACTCAAACTATCCTTGTATTATATACTTTGTATACTATGTCCTCTTTGACTATTCATACAAGGTTTAGCATGATAAATTGCAGAAATTTAATTGCAATTGGGTGTAATTGATTCAAAATTTTGTAATAAATGGGTGTAATTGATTCAAAATTTTGTAATAAACTCAAATGAATGATTAAAAAAAAGAAAGAGAGGTTTTTCTTACCATTCTATACAGAGGCATTTGCTGTGGAGTCACTGGAGGTAGTACCTAGACAAAAAGTATTAGTTACCATATAGTAAATGTCTACTAATATTTAATAAGCAATATTAAAAGATACATAAAATATTCTGCTATATGTTTAATATTGAGAACAAATTCATAGTGAACTTTTTATAGCCAAGACAATGATCTTTCCTTAAGCAGTTATCTTTCTTTAAGAAGTTTAAAGACTTCTAATTGTTTCTATATTGTTTTAGAAGGCAGAGCAGAGTTCACTATAGTGTAAATTTCCTGAAGAACAGGAATTTGCTTGAAAAACATTCCACACCAGAGAATAATATGAACTAAGCTAAGAAAGAAACAGTTGTGACTCTTTTCTGTACTGCATAAATAAAACGATAATAATAGACAAAATTAAAGAAAAATTTCAACCATAACCACATTACCTCCAACAAATAAAAGTTTCTCAATTTTTCAGTGTTCACTTCCCCAGTTTTTGTTTTAGATGTATGCAATAATGTGAAAAATGGTAAGTTGGCTTTCAACACAGCAGATGAAAAGCAGAGTAATATCAGCATAATTTCAAATTATGCCTTGCTTTCAACGCTGATTTAGTACACTTTCCTAAAGCAGTCATAACTTTAATCCCTGTCTTAGTTTCTTTGTCCATTACTGGGTGATATAACATGAGATACAGTGGCCTCTGACTTTACACATACTCCAGAGAGCTAATGATCAGGTACAGGGACTTGAAGAAGGAGGCAAAAATACATTTTTTAATTGCATTTTAGGTTTTGGGGTACATGTGAAGAACATGCAAGATAGTTGCATAGGTACACACGTGGCAGTGTGTGTTGCTCCAGTCACACACAAATTTGCTCATGTTGTTTTTGCTGTGTTCCAGAAAATGGTAAATGTACAGGAACACACAGAGGATTACAAATATCCATGTTTCCGACACATCTCAAATTGCACATGTTCAAAGCTGTACCCTTGATCTCCCCAAAGCTGTTCTACTTGCAGCCTTCTCAATCACAGGTGATGACATCTCTATCCTTAATACATCCTTCTTTCACTCCACATACAATTCATGAGCAAGTGCAATGGCCTTTATTTTCAGCGTGCATCGTAACTTTTTTCCAATCCATTATCTCTCATCTGGGTCACTGCAGTAGCCTTCTAACTGGGCTCCCTGCTTCTGCCCTTACCCCCTACAGTGTTCTTCATGCTGCAGCCAGAGTGATTGGCTTACAGTGTTAAGTCAGGTTAAGCAACTTCATTGCAATTGCTCCCCATTTCTCTCAGAGCAAAAGCTTTCGTCTCTTGATACTCTTGCCTTGCTTAGTTCATTCTAGGCACAGGACACTCAGTATATATGCTTGAAGTAAGGCAGGAACAACCCATGTTTGTATTAAAAGACATTGAGGTTGTCTCCCCAGTTCCCTTTTAAACTCATCCTTGTGTGACTTCTATCCCTAATATTCCACTAAACTACTAACATAAAGGTCTCTAATGACTTCCATGTGACCTAATCTAATAGGTACTTCTCTGTCCTTGTCTTACGGAGTCCTTCTTTCCTATTACTCAACTAGGACACATTCTGATTCTAGGAATATGGCAATAATTAAAAGAAGCAAAAACGCATGTCCCTGTGGGATGTACGTTCTAATGGGGGAAAGAAATAAATAAGGTGACAGGTGCTATGGAGAAAATTGCAGCAGGGAAGAATCAAGAGTATTGGAGTAGGTTTCCATTTTAAATAGGCTGGTCAGTGGGAACTCTGTTGAAAAGGTGACTCAGTCTTGAGTAGAAATTTTAAAGAGGAGAAGGAGCAAGTCAAGTGGAAGAGCATTTCAGAAGAGGACATAATCCACAAGGTCAACAGATCGAGACAATCCCGGTCAACATGGTGAAACCCCGTCTCTGCTAAAAATACAAAAAATTAGCTGGGTATGGTGGCGCGTGCCTGTAATCCCAGCTACTCGGGAGGCTGAGGCAGGAGAATTGCCTGAACCCAGGAGGCGGAGGTTGCGGTGAGCCGAGATCGCGCCATTGCACTCCAGCCTGGGTAACAAGAGCGAAATTCCGTCTAAAAAAAAAAAAAAAGATGTCCATATTATTTGACTAAAGATATATGATAAGATTTTAGGGTTAAATAGGTTAAGTTTCAATTATTTCTCTGCCACACACATATCTGGTTTAGCTAGTTCATCTAATAAGTTTGGTCTCCATTTTCTTTCTATAAAAAGGAGAGTCTTGGCAGGCCGAGGCGGGTGGATCACGAGGTCAAGAAATCGAGACCATCCCAGTCAACATGGTGAAACCCCGTCTCTACTAAAAATACAAAAATTAGCTGGGCACGGTGGCGCGTGCCTGTAATCCCAGCTACTCGGGAGGCTGAGGCAGGAGAATTGCCTGAACCCAGGAGGCGGAGGTTGCGGTGAGCCGAGATGGCGCCATTGCACTCCAGCCTGGGTAACAAGAGCAAAACTCCATCTCAAATAATAATAATAATAATATACTGTATATGCCACTTAATTTCCAGAAGAGGACTAGAGTATAATATGATTCCAGGTGTGCATATATGCTAGAATGATGAGTGAACCCAAGCCCAGAAGAAATAGACTTAGTAGGACTTTAAGGTAGGAGGAGTAGAACTGAGATACCACACAGGTCAGAGAGTCCAAGTACCAGAGGAGTGTGGTAGATTCCAGGCTAGGCATCAGTAACCAAAGGCTATTTATTAGTATAACAGGGCTTGAGGAAAAAGGTATGGGTTGCAGAGAAAGCCATGAAGTGCTACATAAGGAGCCAGGCTATTTTACAGATTCTTTCCAAATAATGGTGAACAGAACAGGGCCCATTTCCCAGGGAGAGAAGCTGACAGGAATCAGGTAAAAGTAGACCATAGCATTGACTTGGCTACAGAATGAGACTTCCACTCCTTAGGCATGAATGACTATGGACCCGGGTGGATTGAAGAAGCATATTCACCTATGTTTCCTAAAAGGACTAGGTGCTCAGTCTAGTCCATGGGGCTGCATGGGGCTATTCCAGGGTGCACTATCTGATAGCATCACAGAAGTGGACCAAGAGCTTCATCCTCAGGCAAGAGCAATTTTAAGGATTTCTAGACAGCCCTGGTTTGTGAGGCACGAGGTCTTGGTACCTTGCTCACTTAGGCCCTTTGTTTGATACGTAGAAGTGGCATCCTTGCACACTGAAGATAGTTAGGAACTGCTTCCAAATTGTTGGCATGGGGCTATGACAGGAGGATGGACTGGAAAACTTAAATGTTCCTATCAACTAAAATTGTTTTAACTTCGTTTTCACTTCTCACCCATTCTATATATATGTGGGTATTTGTTAAGATCCAAGTACAAGACTCTGTTAACTTTCACCTTATTCGATTGGGACCTATCTCTAGTCTCTCAAGAAAATTAAGTCTGGGCGTGGTGGCTCAATCCTGTAATCCCAGCACTTTGGGAGGCCAAGGTGTGTGGATCACAAGGTCAAGAGATCGAGACCATCCTGGTCAACATGGTGAAACCCCGTCTCTACTAAAAAAAATACAAAAACAGATTAGCTGGGCATGGTGGCGCGTGCCTGTAATCCCAGCTACTCGGGAGGCTGAGGCAGGAGAATTGCCTGAACCCGGGAGGTGGAGGTTGCCGTGAGCTGAGATTGCGCCATTGCACTCCAGCCTGGGTAACAAGAGTGAAACTCTGTCTCAAAAAAAAAAAAGAAAATTAATGTTTCTGATTATATTTAATGTCTTCATTATCCTTTCCAATGTGTATGTTATTTGCATGCTCAGTGAACATATCCTCTACAACATTTTAATTCACAGATAAAGATGAACAAGAAGATCAAGAACATAACCCTGCAGCATATCACCAGAAACCTCCCAACAGGTCAGCACATGAATCTTTGACCTTTGGTTTTCAGTCTTTTGAACAGTTTCTAATCTACGCAGTTGTTCTTAAGTAAGCCCATATTGCCTCAACCAGTGAGGGAGAAGTGAGGGAAAAAGATGAGGAAGCAGTAGGCTTGGTAAGCCATGCTGAGGACTTTACACACTATCTATGATCAATGAGGGTCCATTTAAAGGTTTTAAACAGTGGAGGGAGATGGTCACAGTCTTATATTAATGGGTCTGTGCAACCTTCTTAGTTTGTTCTTCGTTAATTGCTCTTCTTCCATCTTTTGAATATAATTTAAAATATGAGCTCATCAAGTAACTAGAAAAGTAAAACAAACTAAAGAAATGTCAAATGCCTTTCTAGTTCCAGCTGCCTTCATGACCTGATGTGGTTGCCCTTCCCTCACTACTTTCGCCTGGTAGATTTCTATACATCCTTTACATTTAACCTGTACATTGTTATATCTAATCATATGTTCTTTCTGTAGTATTTCATGAAAGTTACATACATACCAGTATATATTTAACATGTTCTATGTCCACTTACAAACGTCACTTCTTTTTCCTATGAGTATTATTGGCCTTGAGATGTTGGAGCTCTGTCTTGTAAAGACTCCTTTGCAGGCTTTACTTTGTGACGAATTCATCCCTGCTTCTCAATAACTATTCTTTAGGTTTTCCACCCTCTCTTGTCTCATACCTTATCACCAGCAGCTCCTTCACAGATACATTTTCCCCTTTTTCTTTTTATTTGGCATTTAGCATTCCTGTCAATTGATGCTTATTAAATATTAACATAATATTTACTCTAGGGTTCTCATGGTACTATTGTATTAGGAAAGCAATTAAATACTAATTAATTTTTAACTCTTTTTTTTTTGAGACGGAGTTTCGCTCTTGTTACCCAGGCTGGAGTGCAATGGCGCGATCTCGGCTCACCGCAACCTCAGCCTCCTGGGTTCAGGCAATTCTCCTGCCTCAGCCTCCCAAAGTGCTGGGATTACAGGCTTGAGCCACCGTGCCTGGCCAATTTTTAACTCTTTGTTTTCTTTTAAAATCCAGAGGTCACAACTCCATTGGGAGCTCCTTCTCTAATGGTACCTCAACCCATGATTCATATCCAGCAAGGCCTAAGGACCAGTACTCCTTCCACTCCATCCGCAGAAGATCAAGTATGTTTGGGCTGTTGTTGCTAAGGGCCTTAGCAGAGATAGGCAGTCACTGGAGGCAGGATCAGTGTTACAATGGAGTTTTGCAACATAGCCATCTTTTGTGTACTATTGGTCTCTCATAGTAGAAAGCCTAATTCTAACATCTCCATCATCGTAGAAAGACAGAATGTGCAGACCTGATGCAGACCTCTATAAACTTGTGTTGTTAAGCCTCAACTGGGTTCTTATATTTATGCAGCCATCCTTTTATTCATTCATATGTTCATTCAACAAACCCAACTGTGATTAGTATTGGAGAAGTGGTTAACCCAATCTGGAGATTTCGAGGGTGACTTACGAGAGAACTGATACTTAAGCTGAATGATAAGATTTAAAAATAGACAGAGAGTCAACAGAGTGAGAAAGGATGCTTCAGATAAACACACACACAAAGAAGGAAGCGCAAAACACCGTGGGAACTCAAGGAAGGGAACAATTAATTTAGCAATGGAAGCTTTCAAGTATTGAATGATAAAGAAGATTTCAAATAGTAGATGTATAGAGGACAGAAGTTTGGCCTTACTGGCAGAAAGAATAGGTTCGGCAAAGAAGTAGAAGTAGGCAGTGGTAATGTGAATGAGTATAGCTGGAGTGTATGGGAGAGTGTCATGATCCAGGTGTCATTGTCTCAGAGTATTGTTTTCTAGAAGACTTTACTAGGTTTCTTCTTTTGGCCCTCAGCTGATGTGCAGAGCCCCCTGATTCCTGAATGTTTGTTTTAGGAGAACTGAATAAGCTTCAGGTGTTGTTAGATAATGAGAAAAATGACCAGAGTTTTGCATTAAAATGTTTGTGATTTATTTCATAACCACAAGGAAAATATGTATAAATGATTAAATATTTACAGATCTGTCTTTCTTTTATTCAGACGCAGTCCAAGTACAGGTACCAAAGCAAAAAGATTCATATTCAGAAGTGAATAAAAAGATGATCTTTCAACAGGCTGAACTGAATCCTGCACATCTTCCAAGGAAAGTAAACATTTAGTTGGACATTCGATACTCTTGAAATTATTTAATTCGATGTTTGGAGGTTATGTGCTGTATTTTTTTTTTTTTTTTTTTGAGACAGAGTTTTGCTTGTGTTACCCAGGCTGGAGTGCAATGGCGCGATCTCGGCTCACCGCAACCTCTGCCTCCTGGGTACAGGCAATTCTCCTGCCTTAGCCTCCTGAGTAGCTGGGATTACAGGCACAGACCACCACGCCCAGCTAATTTTTTGTGTTTTTAGTAGAGACGGGGTTTCACCATGTTGACCGGGATGGTCTCGATCTCTTGACCTCGTGATCCACCCACCTCAGCCTCCCAAAGTGCTGGGATTACAGGCGTGAGCCACCGCACCCGGCCCCATGTGCTGTATTTTTTTTTATTTTAATCGTTAATAATTCACCTAACCCACTCTAGTCTTCCAACCACAACCCCTTCCCTAACAAGTCCCTACAACCATGTGTGTCAGCTCGGTGCAGTGGCTGCACCTCACTTTGGGAGGTTGAGATGGGAGGAGGATGACTTGAAGCTAGGAGTTTGGGCCAGCCTGGGCAACATAGTGAGGCCCCATCTCTACAAAATTACAAAATAAGAAAATTAGTTGGAATGGTGGCATGCACCCATACTCCTAGCTACTTGGGAGACTGAGGCAAGAGGACAGCTTGAGCCCAGGAGATTGAGGCTGCAGTGAGCTACGATTGCATCATTGCACTCCAGCCTGGGTTACAGAGAGAGACCTTGTCTCCAAAAAAAAAGCACACATAGGTCATGTGTCATATAGGCCCAGTTCTGGGACCTCTGAGTGCCCTCAGTAACCACATTACAAGCCTTACTTCATACCAGGTGTTCTTCAGTTGATTGGACCCTTAAGAGCCTGCTTCAGATCTAGTCATGAGTCTCATCTAATCCAGAGCTAGGTCCCTAGGTAAAAGCTCAGGAACTCATCCCTTGAAGACTGCCATGGAATGACAATTCACTTCCCTCCTGTCCTCATAGAGAGTCTAGCGGCATTATGTTGCTGACATGGATTTCCTGAGCGGACTCTCCAGACTTCCAGCATGTAATTGCTGTAGCTGCTCTCTGAGCAACAGCAAGAGCAATGGTTGCCCATGATTCCTTGTCTTGGGCAGGGAGTGTGATGCCTGAGTAATATAAGCTCACCTTGGCCTGGGAAATTTCATCAAATATTCTGGTCTCTGCTGGCTTGGCTTTCTTGAAACTGTTAGGTGCCCACACATTGTTATTTTTTAGCCATCATCTGTATCACAAGTAAACAGAAACTACAATATGTGAAAGGAGATGAATTTTTTAGAGATTAGCAATTCCAAAACCCTCTTTACGAAGAGGAGATGGAGGCCCTAAAAGAGAGGACTTCCAAGGTTTCGTGGCTCCAAATCCAGAATTTTTTCCCCCATGTTCCATGTTCCATGTTCCATGCTCCACAACTGATGTGTGGGCAAAGGCAGGTCTTCCATGCAAGGTGGAGTCCCACCACACTTAGTGTCTCTGGCACTTAGCATTGACTGCCTTGGCCAGCTAGGTAGTTTTTCATGTGAGTATCTCAGTCTCTTAATTAATTATCTTCAGTTATACACTGTGTTGGATTCTTGTAGTGTAACTTATCTTCACTACCTAAATGTTGAGCACATTGTACATGCTCCACAAACATTTGTTGCTTGATTGATTCACACAGTCAATAAATAATGATCAAGCTGCTATGTATCAGGCTCTGTGTGAGGCTCAGAGAAGCAAAGACAAGAGAAACAAGTCCCTACCCTTAAGAATTTATGGGCTGATGGAGGCACTTTTCTTTGGTACTGACATCAGACATTTTGGAGTCAAGTTGACATGAATTGCTCACATTTTAGGGCTTTCATATCTCAGGCATTTCAGCATATCCACAAATAGCAGGCCCAGCGAGCTGAGCAATATCATGGGGCTCCAATGTTTTAGGAGTTACTCCTGAGCCAGACTGCATGCTCTCTCTTATCTGTATATGTGAAGAATAACCCTTCTTCCTCCCCAGGAGGCAGTGAGGGATTTAAGACAGATGTCTGTCTTAGGGATCCTGCAGATCCCCATGGTATCAGCAGACTGGGAGATTTCTCCCCATCATGGGGTCATTCTCATGACATGCGGCGCATGTCCCAAACCCCTGCATTTCTTATTCTGTGCCATATCCAGGCCTTTCAATTATCAGGAGAGTAGCTAAAATTTATTGAGGGCTTACGAGGTACTAGGCACAGGATCAAGTATATTATCTGTGTAATTCCATTCAATCTACTTAATAATATGTGCCCAAAGCCATATTGTTATGGTTATTTTACAACTGAGAAAACTGAGACGGTGTTAAAGTAACTAACCTAATATCCCATAGCCAATAAATAATCAAGCTTGACTGCAAAGCACATGCGCTAGAACCATTGTGCCGGAATGCACCATCTCCCAGTTATCATCCAGGGAACCCTGTGACTGGGAATTTACCATGGCTTATACCGAGTGTCTTTATATAGCCCAAGGACTCATGCCCAAAGGAGATCCAGGAACAATGAAGCAGAGTTCGAGCCTTTTTACATCCATGCTTTTTATTGTGTTTGGTGGGAAAGGAAAAACTTGGGTGGACATAGGGGCAGAGGGATTTGGAGGGTGTAATTACCCACCTAGGGGCCCAAGATCAGATTTTCTAAGTTGAGAATCACATAGAGAAGGAACCTGGAGACTCCAGTGGGATCTAGAGACAACCATGGGATGCTAAATTAGTACTAGTGCCCTGATGACTCACCAGAGGTCATAGTCAAAATGTATTAGCTCTAGAAGTGAGTCTGCAGATCCTCTAGTCCAAACCTCACATTTCACATGTGAGGACACTGAGCGAGATAGGTGAAGACACTTGTCTAATGAGGCACAGCCTGTTAATGACAGGGTTAAACTAGAACCCAAGTTCTAGAGCCTATTACATACTGGCAAGACTAGGAATGATTTCTGGAAATAAAGCAGGGTAATGTCTGGCAGTCCCCAGGGCCATCATTCTGGCAGATCAGGTGGTGGGGTAGGGGTTGCAGAAGGGTTAGTTTCCTGGGACACAGGATCTCTCCACATCACCTTACTTAAGTAACATCAGTCCCAGGAAAAAGGAAATCACATTACCACATTTTACCTGGTCTAGGAAAATCCTACCTTGTATTCTTTTGTATAAACAGAACAAAAACACTGAAGATACAATAACAATACACAGCGAGGACACAACCAGCACTCGGCAACTCAGGGTAGTTGGCATGTTTGGAAATAGAAGACACATGTATTTGGACTCACTAGGAAATAGCCCCAAGAGGCTGGGCAGGCTTAGTGTGCAGGGGCACTATCACAATTGAGTGCCCTCCAGGGGAGTTCCAAAGCTTCCAGGGCAAACTGCACTTTCTGCTCTCAGAAGTCAGGATTAGAAACTGAATCAGAAGATTGAGCAGAGGCTGTCTCAGAACATCCTGAAATGCTTGGCCTCTCTCTGAAGGCTTTGCGCTCTTTCCCAGTGGGCTTCCTGGGAGAAAATGACCCCAGTGACCAGGCTTGGGGAAAAAAGAGACACATTAACCTCAGGATTGGCAGCTCTTAGTGATTTCAGAGGCTTGTGGAGATTGGGACAGAACCTGTTACCTGCACAGACCTTCCAGGCAAAGACGGAGTTAGAGTAGTTGTTGTGGGTTCTGGCTGTACAAATTTAAGTCAGCTCTTGGTCCCCTGAGGTCTGGAAGTTGCTAAGGATATTACCCTCTTCTTCCAGGGGACTCCAGTTGTATGTCCCATCATTTTCTTCCTTCTCTGCAGAGCATATCAGTGTGACATTTGCAGGTACTCTTCATTAAAGTTATAAACTCTGGCTTCCCAAAATATGAGCCAGTGGTGCACTAGAGCTGGCTTGTACCAGCTTGTGAGAACCAATTGTTAAATTTCTAGAAATTCTGCAAGATGGTTGTTAAACACAGCTGTCATTCAAAATTAAATTATAAAAGTTTACAATTTTGCTTATAGCCATTACTGGAAATAGTGAAAAAAAAAAGTTTACAATTAAATACATTCTTTTAAAAACAAAGGTAATAAATATTTATAATTTATAATCTAATTATTTTTTGACATTTGAGTGTTACCTATACTCTTAAGATTATTTACAACCATTGTATCTGTGTGCTACTGGGCATGTTTTCCCAACTCCATGTAGATTGAAATCACCCACTGTGGGAGTATCTACACCACAGAAGTTGGCAGATGCGACAAACTAGGGCTTGATCTTTTTGACACTCTGGACTCAAAGCAATGTAGAAAATGTTACTAATACAGATTCAGCTTAAAAGTGAGTTGTGTCTGTGGCCATTATTGTGAATAGCACCAAAAAACGAGGCAATATTTTTCTGGTGTTTGAAAAGCATTATCCAATTCAGCAAATAAGTCACTTACATTGTTAATGAATGATCCATGTACCAATATAAAAATAATTGTTGAATTATTTTTTTATTATTACTTAAGGTAAATGAAATTATCAACCAACATTCATGTCAGAACTACACTAGTTCTATTGCAACTACAGGTTGTCTAGGGAGATATGTATTTGGCAAAAATTAAAAGCATCCTCTCAGAATTGGTTATATGGAATCTATAATAAAGAGTACCGTATATTTTATCACTTATGAAATTGTGTGCTATACATCTTTTATATTAATACAATTTATAATAAATGTGTAACTCCTTTCTATAATCAGTTGAACATTTATCAGCACAACACTATGTGAAATGATTTTTAAAAAGTTGTTCTATTTCCTTTTGTATATATATTTTCTTTACATTTCGTTTTATTTTGTTTCAAAAGTGTCCATGATGAAAATCTACAGCCTTTTAAAGTCTGTTTTAAAAAATTCTTTTACTAAAGCAATCTAAAGACAAGCTGTAAAAGGTGTGGGCTACTGAAGGGTTACTAAAGACCAATCATATGTAAGGTCAGGTAATAGCTAGATTTGGATCTGGCAAGAAGTTTTTTTTTTTGTTTGTTTGTTTAACTAAGAGAGAAGAAAATGACTATCTATAGAGTTGATAAGCTTAGTGTACTCTTGGAAAAGCTGCTGCGGCCATGGCAAGAAGGAAATAGAGGAGTCAGAAGGAATTGGTATTAAAAAATGCCCATCGATGATAGACTGGACTGGGAAAATGTGGCACATATACACTATGGAATATTATGCAGCAATCAAAAATGATGAGTTCGTGTCCTTTGTAGGGACATGGATGAATCTGGAGAACATCATTCTCAGCAAACTGACACAAGAACAGAAAATGTAATACCGCATATTCTCACTCATAGGCAGGTGAGGAAAAATGAGAACACATGGACACAGGGAAGGGGGTACTACACACTGGGGTCTATTGGGGGGAATAGGGGAGGGACAGCAGCGGGGGGAGCTGGGGAGGGATAGCCTGGGGAGAAATGCCAAATGTGGGTGAAGGGAAGGAAGGCAGCAAAACACAGTGCCATGTGTGTACCTATGCAACTATCTTGCATGTTCTGCACATGTACCCCAAAATCTAAAATGCAATAAAAAAATCAAAGAATTGACCAACCAAAAAAAAAAAAACTTTCTAATTAAGAGAAGCTTAGAAAGGAAATGTATGGAATATATATATGAATCTTCTGTTTGTACCTGTAAGGGAGTAAAACGTGAGCAGTAAGCTTATAAGGCTTTTGGCTCCAAGAGAAAAACCTGGCCTGAAGAATCAAATAACACATCTCTCAGAGGGATTTCTTCCAGATTAGAATTAGCGATAATTTGGAGAAATATTTTCTAAAGTTTGAAGTCCTTGATTAGTTCTAACAATGATTGACATAGATAGGGATCAGTGAAGTTGAACCAAATTTGCAAGTGTGTCTGATACCTCAATGTTTTTCTGTAGAAACCTTACCTACTTTTCGAAAACAAAATTTTTTTTGGAAGGCATTGAGGTGCGGGAGAGTGGTAAAGAATAGAGTTCCCATCTACTTTTCTCTGCAGGAACAGAGACATCAGTTCAGAAACCCACTGACCAGAAAAGGTCAGTGTCATGGTTAGCTAATATGTCTTCATCTTCCCAAGCCAAATAGCATAGAAGGCACTGGAGAACTAGTTTGGAGTTCCGGCTTCATTGCCACGTAGTTGTAGGAATTTGGAGAAGCTGTACAGGTTCATTGAGCTTTAGTTTCCTCATTCACAATATGATGATACCAATTTGTTCCTCATTATATATAAAGACATATCTATGTCTATGTGTTTGATCATACATTATCTATGGAGATAAACCGGTAACAGTAATTGCCTCTGAGAAGAGAGACTTACTTTCCATTGCATAATTCTTTTTCTTTCATTGTGTATCATCTTTTTATTTCTTTTACTTTTTTTTTTAGAAAGAAAGAAAAAAAAAGTGAAGGAGAGGAAGAAAGAGGAAGAAAAAGAGGGAGAGAGAACGGGAATATAGGTTTATTCTAAAAATGGCTATTAATAATGGCCAATCAATAGTTTGTGCATTTAAGGTGGAGAATGTATATTTTATGTATTTAAAATGGAGAGCTCTATAAATATTTATTGGGTTTACTTGTTCCAGATCTGAGTTCAAGTCCTGGATATCCTTATGAATTTTCTGTCTCGTTAAGTCTAAATCTCTTTATGAGTCTTATGTATCTGGGGGTTAGGATCGTTAGCTCTTATTGTTGCATTGATCCTTTTACCACTATATCTTTGTTGCTTTGAAATCTATTTTATCAGATGCGAGAATTGCAACTCCTGCTTTTTAATTATTTATTTTTGCCCTTCATTTGGTTGGTAGATCTTTCTCCATCCCTTTGTTTTAAGTCTTTGTGTATCTTTGGATGTGAAATGGGTCTGGATGCAGCATATCGTTAGGTTTTGCTTGTATGTTTTGATTGGGGGATTTAGTAGACTTAAATTTAGGGTTACTGCCATTTGATGTTAACCGGCTATTTTATCCATTCGTTGATGTAAATTCTTCTTTATGTTGATGCTCTTTACTTTTTGGTATATTTTTAGAAAGGCTAATACTGGTTGTTTCTTTCTATGTATAAGGCTTTCCATTGCATAATTCTTATGCTTATGGTGGAATTTGTGTGAGTGGATGAAGCACTGCTTCACTGGGAAACACTCCAGTGGAAGAAAGGACAGAAAAGGGCCTGAAGAGTAATTACTTGGTTCTATACGACAGATATGCTTTTACAGGATTGTAGCATAGGATGACATTGGGTAAGTCCATGGGCCTAGAAGCCTGGGTGGAGTTCTTAGGATTTTGTATGTGGACTATGAGGTTCTGGAAACGTTTCAGCTGGAGAGAAGACATTCTGATCAAAGGTGGCTTTCGGGAAAGGTTGGTGCGACAGGCAGGGTATTTATTAGAATGAGGCCCGTGACTCCAGTCTGAAACAGACACAAAGTAAGTTCCCTTCAATGGCCGGGCGCGGTGGCTCAAGCCTGTAATCCCAGCATTTTGGGAGGCCGAGGCAGGTGGATCACCTGAGGTCAGGAGTTCGAGATCAGCCTGGCCAATATAGTGAAAATCCATCTCTACCAAAAATACAAAAAAATAGCTGGGCGCCGTGGCGCGTGCCTGTAATCCCAGCTACTCGGGTGGCTGAGGCAGGAGAATTGCCTGAACCCAGGAGGCGGAGGTTGCGGTGAGCCGAGATCGCGCCATTGCACTCCAGCCTGGGTAACGAGAGCGAAAATACGTTTCAAAAAAAAGAGGCAGGAAGCTCCTTGGGATGGTGAGACCAGAAAGGCACAGAGGCTGAACGCTTGTGATGGCGATAGGTCTGAGGTTCGCTCGCATCCGAGAGCGAATTCGGTCGCTCCAGAGGCCATTGTCAAGGCTGCTGCGAGTTCTAGGGTCGGGGTGGGGTCAGGCTAGGTCCCCATTCCTAGGGCTTTAGCACAGCTCACTCACAAGACTCCTTTTCCCAAGAGGACGTAAGGGTTTTTCCTGCCGCTCCAGCTTGTCTTCTGCGGCCCTTCCACGCTTGTCACTTACCTGAGCGCAGCCAATCAGCACCTATTTCGACCAAAGGAGAACCGGAACTTGGTGGGGGGACCTTTCCTGCGCACCAATGAATGTGTACGGAGAGGCGGGCCTGTAGGTGCGAACGAGCCAATCACGAAATCCTGGTGGGCGGTGGCTCGGAAGGCAGTCGAGCACTCGCATCCCCAAGATGGCGGCCGCGAAAGACGGTAGCGGCAAAGGAGAAATGGCAACAGGGAATGGGCGGCGGCTCCACCTGGGGATTCCCGAGGCCGTGTTTGTGGTAAGAAGCACGCTGTTCCCTGGCATCTTGGTTCGAGACTGCGGACTGCCCCTTTGTTTCCGGCTCACACCTAGGCCTCTACTGTTGGAAGGAGCTGAGCTAAAGGTTCAGGGACCGGGTGCTCGGCCCGCTCTCACTCTTCTTTGCACATGGAAAGATTGAGCTCTGCTGCGGCCCGCCCGGAAGACACGTAGCTCGAGAAGGTCCTAGAAGAGAACGGGGTGCGGGGCCTGGGCGAGGGTGAGGGGCGGCGGGGCGGCCTTAGGGACCTGCCGGCTGCGGCTGGTTTTCGAGCCCCCCTGCTGCTTGGAAAAGGGGAAATGGTGAGGAGCTCTCGACTCCGCCTAGTTGCTGGAGAGACAGTACAATGAATAGGCAGAACAGCTAGTGCCAAGATGTGAAAACAGGGAGGGCCGGGCGCGGTGGCTCACGCCTGTAATCCCATTACTTTGGGAGGCCGAGGCGGGTGGATCACAAGGTCAAGAGATCGAGACCATCCTGGTCAACGAGGTGAAACCCCGTGTCTACTGGAAATACAAAAAATTAGCTGGGCACGGTGGCGCGCGCCTTTAATCCCAGCTACTCGGGAGGCTGAGGCAGGAGAATTGCCTGAACCCAGGAGGCGGAGGTTGCGGTGAGCCGAGATGATTGCGCCATTGCACTCCAGCCTGGGTAACGAGAACAAAACTCCGTCTCAAAAAAAAAAAAAAAAAAAAAAAGAAAAAGGGAATATCACCGTGTCTGTTGAAGGAATGCCGTGGTCTGTTGCCTTGGGGGAAGTAGAAGAAGTAGGATGATGGGGTGAGAGTGTAAACCCCTTCTATGGCTTCGTAAGGAATGAGGTTTTTTTTTTTTTGTTTTTTTTTTTGAGACGGAATTTCGCTCTCGTCACCCAGGCTGGAGTGCAATGGCGCGATCTCGGCTCACCGCAACCTCCGCCTCCTGGGTTCAGGCAATTCTCCTGCCTCAGCCTCCGGAGTAGCTGGGATTACAGGCGCGTGCCACCGTGCCCAGCTCATTTTTTGTATTTTTAGTAGAGACGGGGTTTCACCTCATTGACCAGGATGGTCTCGATCTCTTGACCTTGTGGTCCACCCGCCTCGGCCTCCCAAAGTGCTGGCAATGCACTGCCATTGCCTACTGTAAAAGGCCTTTGGTTTCAGGTGCATCATTCTAACAACTTAGTGGAGAATGAATTGTTGAGAGAAGAGGCCGAACCCTCGTGTTGGCGCTGGGTCCCAGATTCACTGGCATCCGAGAGGGGATCGGGTCGCTCCAGAGGTTGTTCTGGAGGGCGCTCCCTGTTCTGAGTGCCTTTTTAAAAATTTTATTTTATTTAGAAATAGTATTTGAAGACTATTTGAGTAATGAGAGAAAATGTCTGACTGGCCCTCCAGGCCAGCTCATCTGTCTGTCCCCATTTAGTTTCTGAAAGTTTCTG